CCCTATTATATATTCACCATAATCTGGAAACGTCCATTTTTCATTGATATTCTCAAGAAGTGATTCTTTTTATAATCTCACATTGTCTACTTCTTCGCGCAAATTAATCAACGCGTCATTCCGTCCAGCATTCTGATTTAGGCGGATGAGTAATCTTGGACGAGTTCCGGAGGCTCCGTCATCTGAGACCTTATGTGAATGAGAGTGTTTACAAATATGATGACCAACCCGCTGAAATAAGAAAAGATACTATTACATTACAAGGATTACAAGGAGCACAACTGTTGAAAAACGTTGCTTATGCGCTTCTTCTGCCAATCTTTACAGATAATCGTGAGATCAAGCTTAAGTTCACTGAATCACTTACAAAAGTTTTTCTTTGAAGTGCAAAAACACACGGACAAGAGACTTACTTGAAAGGCGGATTCGCCTGAATCTGCCAAAATTTGACGCAGTTGCCCACATATACACAAATAAACAGAATCACGTGTTGATATGCAGGCGGCACGTGTTGGTGAGGACCCTTAGTGCTTTCAATCCGTTCGGACACTCTTACACGGCTCTCAAAATTTCAGCCTTAAGCAGAATGGGAAGTCAAAGCATATATAACATCCCGAAATGCGTAGCCGTACTGTCAACCTATTAGCAGTCTGCCAAAGCGAATGCAGGTCCGATCATACCAGGCGGTTCAATGTGCCGTAAGTGACCCTGGCGCGCAGTACAATATCTGAACCTGACAAACTCCTAGAAGAAGTAACGCTTTCTACCAAGAAACATATGCCCGTACTTACGTAATAAACTGCATTAAATTCTCGTCTTCGCACTTCCGACAAAATAAGACGTGCTGCTCTATCGATATGCAATACTCCGTTCTCAACACACTCCTGAAGTGAAATAGGCAAAGGAGGAGGCTGGTAACGTCGGTGCATTTCATGAAAGTCTCGTCTTTCATAGAGGTTTCCTGGATAGAAAACTAGCAGAAAGAAAAAGAAGCAAAAGCTACGAACCTTGCGGAACTTCGACTTCCATCTGAATATCTGAGTTATCCCCTTCGTCTTCAACAGCATTGTCCATAAAAACATTTCTCTACTTGAAACAGAACTACAAAAAATTATGAAACAAGATACCAACGCACCCAGTGAAAGAAGGAGAGAGAAAAAGAGAAGAGAAGGTAAAAGTGGCGCATATTTTAGCTGAATATCAAAAATGATTACATTTTATCAAGTTAAAATTTCTTCAAAAGAGTTCGAAGTTTGTTG